ATTTGTGGCCTATTTTAAACAACTTTTCGGTGTGTTTTTGCGAGTTTGTGTGTTTTTGCGAGTTTGTGTGAGTGTTTGCGAGTTTGTGTGTGTTTGCGAGTTTGTGTGAGTGTTTGTGAGTTTGTGTGAGTGTTTGCGAGTTAGTATGTTTTTTTGTGCGAGTATGTGCGAGTTTGTGTGAGTATATGTGAGTTTTTGTTTGTGCGAGTTCTTGTGTGTTTTTGTAGGTCTTTGTTGTAGAGCAGTGCGTGGTTTGTGCGGAAGACGATCCAGTCGAACAGAGCGCCGTACAGAGATTTGGCCATCGAGTCCCTCACCGTCCCGGCCTGCGCAAACACACACCTGTCAATCACCGCCATCACACGTGTGTGTGTGTGTGAGTCTCACATGCTCATCACACAAACACACACTCACAGCCCGTCAATGTGACTAAATCAGGAAATACATAAACACCACAAACTAGATTTTTACATTTTGTGAGGAGAATGTGCGTGATGTTTCCGTGAATACACCAGCATCTACAAGCGTGAAGAACAGAAGACCAGACCCAACGTTCAATGAGAAATCCCATCAAATTAAAACGACACAAGCAGTGGACGTGTTTGCTGCTTCACAGACTGAAAGCGCTGTGTGAAACTCAGATATCAGAGTGAGATTATTTAGGGGAAACTCTGGTCTCACACAGAAACGTCCCTGAATTTCCACTAACAAGTCACTTCCTGCGTCACACAAACCTGTAGCATGCCTTCACAGGAGTAATTAAAAACCTGTGTGTGTGTGTGTGTGTGTGTGTGTGTGTGTATACGTATATACCGAAAGAAAAATGGATAGAAACAATTTTCACTCAGAAGCTGCTAGCAAATTCCACAAAGAAAGAAATGGCAAGTAACATTTAATTATACATCAAGGGCCAGATTTACTAAACAGGGCAAATTAGGGTTAGAGCGCAATTCCATAAAAGCGCTGATGGGAGGGGAAAATTTACTAACAATGCGCACTTTAAAGAACACAGATGCAGCCAGATAATTTCCATAATGACCAGCTCAATCTACCAAGAGCAGCACAAATTACCACCTGCTTTAAGACATGCTTTTTGGGGCGTTAAATAATGACTCAAATACCAGTAATTTGACGAGCGCAAACGTTAGTAAATCGCATTGCGTGATTCATTTTAATACTCTCCTCCCATACATTTTGCGTCTGAAAGGGAAACTCCTACAAATGCATATTCAATAAGGTCAGGCGCAAAAATAACTGTGTCCACGCCTAATTCTTCACTAAATCCTGACAGTACTATTTTAATGCCAAAAGACGGTTTGCGCTGGCGCAAGCTGTTAGTAAATCTGGCCCCAGATTTTCAAGTAGAAAGTCATATTTATTGCAAATCGTACTCCACTACTATTACAAAATAAATAAATAAATAAATGTAGATTATATAAACTATTATAAACCTATATAATAAATAAATATACATAGTTAATATGCACATATATATTACTTTTCATAATTAAAAACCTATATAAACTTAAATAAACCTGTATATTAATTAAAACACATAAAATATATGTGAGAAATTACTATATAAATACATATAATAAAAGCGTGCATGTATACCTGTGTGTGTATATAAAACTATTACAGCATTATCAAAAATATATGTATTTTAATCTATATATTCATCACCGATAAAATTAAAAATTCTGTGCATATATGCATATAATTAATACACACTTTTTATTGTATGCGAACATTTTATTTTATTTATTTTATCTTTTATTTAATATACAGATTTATGCAGGATTTTAACTTTATATAATCTGTCAGAGTGAAAAATTTAAGGGGGTCTGAATACTTTCCGTACCCACTGTATATAGCCACAATTACCACACTACATGTAAACCTAAACAAAGATGTAAATAAAAAAATCTTATTTACATCTTAAAGGTTTAGTAATTATTTCTTCAAGTGTTATTTATTCCAGAATAATCCTCAACGATCTTACGTATGTTTTAGGTTTTAATGTGGTTTGAAACTCTCTCTCTCTCTCTTATGTCTCTCTCTCTCTATATATATATATATATATCTGTCTCTCTCTCTCTCTGTTTCTCTCTTGGTCTCTCTCAGCTGATTTAAAGTTCGAGCAGCACACACAGATCTCCTTCAGCGTGTGTAAAGCCTATAAAGCTGCAGCCGCTGCCAAAAACGCCACTTACTGAACTTGTACGAGCTAAAACATATAAAACACTCCCCACTTAACACCCATCAAACTACTCTGACGTCCAGCCGCATGAGAAAGCAGATGCGCGTCGCCGGGCCTGATGGGAAGAGTGAAGCTGATTGGCTGCTGAGAGACTCAAGGACGTTCAGGCCAAACGTTGATGGATTTAAACACTGACTATGCACTGTTCATAATAAACACAAGCTCATGTTCAGTTCTGCAGAAGATGCTCCTGCATTATTGATTCAGCTTTTATTTTTAGCTAAATTCTGGAGGAGGAAGAAACATTATATAAAACACCCCCTGCGTGATTCATTATTCACAACACTTTAACATTTAAAGAGTCGTGAGAGTCGTTCTGATCACGTACTCAGAAACGGTGGAGGAGAATTTAAGTGTCATTCATCGTTAAGATCATGGAAAAACCTGCATCTGTGTGTGTGTCTGTGAGCTTGTGAAAACTGAACATAACTAAAATAAAATCAATAAAAATCAATAAAATAAAATACAACTAAAATGAATAAAATACATGCCATTTTAAATAAAAATAAAAATTAAATAAAATATTAGCTGAAAAACGTTTTTTTTTTAAATAATAAAAAACTGATAAATAAAATGCAAAAATTACTTTAAAATACTTTAATAAAAATACAGTTATACAGCTGATAAATTTGTAAAATAAAAATGAATAAAACCTATACATACATTTAAAAAAACAAACAAACAAACAGTAAAAACACACAAAAACACAAAAAAATCACTAAAACTTCAACTAAAATTAAAATGAAAACAAAAGATAAAAAATAGAAACTGATAGTGATAGTTGTAGCACTAAAATTAAAATGACTGAAATAAAAATTAATTAAAGGTAAATTGTGTGTGTGTGTGTGTGTGTG